CCCAGCTAATTTTTTTGTATTTTTAGTAGAGACGGGGTTTCACCATGTTGACCAGGATGGTCTCGATCTCTTGACCTCGTGATCCACCCGCCTCGGCCTCCCACAGTGCTGGGATTATGGCTTCTTATAAGTAGAGACACTAAGAAAAGATGGTGCGTTCCTCCTCCTGCTTTCTGAGGATGCTCTACTCTGTAACAGAGTAGTGTGTAATAAACTTGCTTTTTCACACTGCACTCTGTGACCTGCCTTTAATTCCTTCCTGTGTGAGACCCAGGAACTCTTGGGGTCTGAATCAGGACCCTCTTTTTCCAGTAACATTATCTTGAAGGCAATAGGCAGCCACAGACGTGCTGGGGACAAGGGGTGTAAGTGAGGCGGAGGGGAGAAGGGAGAGACAGAGAGCTTTGGAGACTGGAGCTCAGGGGTGGTAAAGCTTCCTCTTTAAGTAGCAGCCATCTCAGAACTCCTGCTTCTAAAGAAGGAAGCCAATGAATGAGAAAGAAATCGGAGGAGAGAGTAGATTCCATGGGGGGGGGGGGAGGTGATCAGGGAATGGAGGCAAAACCAAGAAGCAGAGGAGGAAAGGGGTCCAGCTTCATCACCCCTTCCCCGCCTTCAAGAAAGAGACCACAAGACTGAAGGGCTCCCCAGTGCCTCTCAGATGTGGTCCCCAGCCTGGGGGCCATAGCAGTAGCATCACCAACAGCATACAGGAACTAGTTAGAAACACAGTCTCAGGCCCCACCCCACGCCTACTGAATCAGAATTTCTTTCTTTCTTTTATTTATTTATTTTTGAGACAGAGCCTCACTCCGTCACCCCAGCTGGAATGCAGTGGCGCAATCTCGTTCACTGCAGCCTCCGCCTCCTGGATTCAAGTGATTCTTGTGTCTCTCAATTAGCTGGAATTACAGGCACGCACCACCACACCCAGCTAATTTTTGTGTTTTTAGTAGAGACAGGGTTTCACCATGTTGACCAGGCTGGTCTTAAACTTCTGATCTCAGGTGATCCCCCCACCTCCGCCTCCCCAAAGTGCTGGGATTACAGACATGTACCACCATAACCCAGTTAATTTTTGTATTTTTAGTATAGACGGGGTTTCACCATGTTGGACAGGCTGGTCCTGACCTCAAGTGATCTGCCCACCTCGGCCTCCCAAAGTGCTGGGATTACAGGTGTGAGCCCCCGTGCCTGGCCCTGAATCAGAGTTTCTGGGAGTGGGTCCAGCATGCTTTTAACAAGGCCTCCAGGGGATTTGATGTGTGCTCCAATGTAAGAACCACTGGCTGAGACAGCCGCGGAAAAGAGAGGCTTCCTCAGTCTTTGCTTTCAGGGAACCTGGTAAGAGAGGAGAGGCCCAGAGCCAGGCAAGTTCCGGCCAGAGCAGGGGAGGAAGAGAAGAGCAGCCCCACGTCCCTCTCACAATCACCCACTATTGGCTTCAGGCCAAGATCAGCCTTCTCAAGCAAAGGAGATTCACTTGGAGATGAGACTCTCCTCTCAACTCCCCATCTTTTGCGCAGACACTGGCTCTTGCAGGGTGGTTCGAATGCCGTCCAAAGATGTATCCCCCTAAAAATGTCTCCCTCTATCTTGCCTCCTGCCCTGAAAACACTTGGTGGATCCCTGTCTGACCACCCCCAATTCAAGGATTCAAAGGTTAACCAGAGATAGCGCCAGCAGTAGTTCGGCTCAGTTGGGTTGGTTGTGTGGCCACGCCTGATGATTGATTGACAGCCATTCAGGGCCAGGATACCCGACCGAGGTTCTGACCCAGGGCTTGATGACCCATTAGGCTCATGTTTACAAACAGCGGCACCACCGGATAGGGGCAGCACCTGGGTGTGGAAGGGAGGGTCTGGGGCTGGGAGAGGGGGTGGGGATTCTTATGCCCGGCTGGGTCTTAGCTTGGCTGACTTCCGATGTCTAGGGTTTGATCGTCTTCCTTCAGAGGTGAGTTTCCTGCCATGGGGGGTTTGAGTGAGCCCCCAGCACCAGCATTTTTCAGGGCTTTGGAAAGAGAGTTGTCTGGTAAGGGAGTGGGGTGTCTCTGTGTTCCTAGCTCTGGGAGAGAGAAGAGAAGGGAATCGGTGATATTGACTCTTCTTCCTGCTCTTTCAAAGCCTTCTCTTATTCCTAGGGTGAAATTCTGGTGAATTTGGAGTCTGAAACCCTGGTTAAATAGCTTCACTGATTTTAAGCTTTGCATAGCCCCCAAAAGGTGCCTGAGCAGCAGTGGCCTCTGCTGGGAGTTTCCATGCTCCATGCTCAGCCCTGATGTCTCCAATTAGAGAAGCCTGATGCAAGTCAGGGAGAGTGTGTGAAATTATTTAAAAAACTAAGAATCATGAGGACTAACATTTAGGGCAAGATGAAAAAGGCATGAGATCCAACCATTGTACCAATTTTTTTTTTTTTTTTTTGGAGTCTCACTCTGTCACCCAGGCTGGAGTGTAGTGGCATCATGTCAGCTCACTGCAACCTCCATCTCCTGGGTTCAAGAGATTCTCCTGCCTCAGCCTCCTGAGTATATGGGACTATAGGTGCGTGCTACCATGCCCGGCTAATTTTTGCATCTTTTAGTAGAGACAGGGTTTCACCATATTGGATAGGCTGGTCTCAAATTCCTGACCTCGTGATGTGCCCACCTTGGCCTCCAAAAGTGCTGGGATTACAGGCGTGAGCCACTGTGCCTGGCCCAGGTCCAACCATTTTTAACCTAGGTTCAAATATCCAGGAATATGCAGAAAAAGTACTGAATTATGCAGTGACAAATCTCCCTCTCATTCTTCTTTTTCATTTGCCAATTTCTATACCTGAAAGGCAACCACTGTTTCTAATTTCTTATGTACAAAGATATACAAAGATAAATTTAATTTCCATTTTCTTTTACATAAAAGCTGCATATTTGGCACATTTTTCTGAACCTTGCAGTTTTCACCCATTTACTAATATACCTAGGAATTTTCCATATCAATGTATGCGTCCTTGTTATTTTTAACAGCTGCATACTATTCCACCATATGGCTATACTCTAACTTATTGCACTAGTTTCCTCCCATGGCCTTTTGGGCTTTGGTCAGTCATCTGCCAAGTCCCAGGCTGGAATGCAGTGTCACAGTCTTGGCTCTGCAAAGGTTACAGCAAAGAAACAGTATCACAACAAGGTCACAAACAATGCTGCTGTTCTCCGGCTGGTACATCTACTTTTTTTTTTTTTTTTGAGACAGAGTCTCGCTGTGTCATCCAGGCTGGAGTGCAATGGTGTGATCTTGCCTCAGTGCAACCTCTGCCTCCTGGGTTCAAGCGATGCTCCTGCCTCAGCCTCCCAAGTAGCTGGGATTACAGGTGTCCACCACCAAGCCCGGCTAATTTTTGTATTTTTAGTAGAGATGAGGTTTTACAATGTTGGCCAGGCTGGTCTCAAACTCCTGGCCTCAAGTGATCCGCCCACCTTGGCCTCCCAAAGAGCCGGGGTTACAGGCCTGAGCCACTGCGCCAGGCCGGTGAGTTTGATTTTAAATGACCAGAAATGCAGTCCATGTGCACGAAAGGAAAAACACAGTGTCTGGCGCTAACATCTCAGAGTGCCTGTATGAAGCTTCCACCCTTAATGCCTTTGCCACCAACACCTAATACAAAAAGTTAGTTGGCATACCAAAGGATGCCGTCTCTGACCCTACAGAGCACGTGTGCATAGCTGCCTCTCTTCTTTTTCACCTCACAGGGGATCAGGACACAGTGGGAACCCGGGATCTGTTTGGTGGGTATATTTCTCAAGCTCTAGAACCGGGTGATCCAGGCACTTCACTGACCTAGGAACGTGAAGGCAGAGAAGGAAGAGGCCTGGTTCGGAATGCCCGGGGTTTATGGTGAGCCAGAGGAGAGGAGGGATGTGCCGGAAAGCTCTGGCGTTTCCTCTCAGCCCGAGCCACAAGTGCAGCAGCAACTGGGACGTGCGTATGGAGTGCCCTGGCAGCCCCCCAGCCCCACGACATGGCATGGCCCTGCTGATCAAGAGACAAGCATGGTGACCCAGCAGCACTGGCATCTTCAGGGCCTGGGTAGATCTGAGCTCCAGGCTGCTGGGCTTCCTGACGCACAACCAGGAGAAGTAGCAGAGTCTGGCCCAAGGCAGGTTTTGCTTGAACATGACTGGGTGGGGGCGTTGAACTGGCCTGGGGAGAGAGGGTCCCAGCAGGAAGCTCTGTGGCTCACGCTCTGCCTCCTCCCTCCCTCTTCTCCCTGTGTCGTAGCTTCCTACCGGGTTCTGAGGTTGGTGAGTACCAGCCGTGGTAGTGCGTGTGGTTGCCCAAGCTGGAGCCCAGATGGGGGACTAGGAACAGGGGCCTGATATCAACAGAGCAGCCTTCTCGCTGAAGCGCGGGACTCTGTGTGCAGGTGGGCGTTGTTTCCCTGCAGGCCAGCCTTGCTCTTCTTCCCCTCCTGGTGAAGAAGTCCAGTCATGGCTCAGAGCAATTGTAAGTGTATTATTTTATTTCATACTCAGGATCCTTCACTTCCCACCTACCCCCTAATCAAGAAACCATGCGTCCGCACGTTCACTCTCCCTCCCATAGGTAGGGGGGTGTCCTGGGCTCTGCTGCTTTTGAGCTATGATCCCTGTTCCCCCATCCTGAGAAGTAAGGCCTTCAGCTCACAGTATCATTTCTTCAGGAGCTGTGACCCTGGGAACCAGGGGCCAGGCTCTGCTGGTGGGTGGATGCGGTGGTGGTTTAGAATCTAGCTGGAAGACAGGGCTGGCTTATTAATGACAGCAGGTCAGGGCCACTGCTACCCACCCTCTCCTTGCCCAGCCCCCCATTCCAGATGAAGTCGTGGTCAGGCAGAAGAGGGCCCCACAGGGCTCCTGGAAGGTCGGCACACTCCGCCATGGAAAGAGAGTCTACACTGTGGCCATCAGCGGCTCAACCCACCACGTGTACACGTGTGGCTCTGGCTACATCAGGGTGTGGGATGAGGGTGCATTGCATGCGGGGGGCAAGGTCCCTCAGGCCCAGCTGGACTTTCAGGTGAGGGGGATCCAACAGGGCTCAGGGAACTCTGATAGGGCCTTGACGTGAGTCAGTGCCCCAAGCGGATACCAGTGTGTGAACCCTTCCTACAGGACCGCCAGGACTGTGTTGTTACCTGTAAGCTGTTCCCTGATGAACAGAGCCTGATCACGGGGGGTGCCTCCCAGGCCGTGACTCTCTGGGACCTGGCACCCACCCCCCAGGTCAGGGCACAGCTGACCTCGACAGGCCCCACGTGCTATTCCCTGGCTGTGTCCTCCGATGCCCATATCTGTTTGGCTGGTTTCCAAGGATTTGTTGAGATTTGGGATTTGCAAAACCAAATCTTGATCAGGTATGACCTCCCTCCATAGCCACTCAGGTGTACCTGGGGAAGGGCTTGCCAGTAAGGCTCACTCTCCCCTCTTTGCATTAGGGCTGGGTGAATCAGTGCAGAGGATATATCTGGGGTACTCCTAGGGGCTTTCTGACCTTGAAACTTCTGGGGGGCCCAAGCCGCTCAGTGACCCTCTGAGTTGTTTTCCCATCCACCAGGAAGCACCAAGTTCCTGTATACGCGTCCCGATGTGTTGACATCACAGGCAATATGTTCTGGACGGGAGGTGAAGACACCACCTTGTATTCCTGGGACCTGAGGAGTTACCAGAGGCTGCACCAATATGACTTAGAGAATGAGGTGCCCGGCTGGCCACCAGTAGCAGAATGCCACCTGCAGTGGAACTGCGCATGGAGGCAGGGGTGGCAGTCTGCGCCTGAGAGGTGGGCACAAAGGGTGGCGTTGGCAACTTTGGGTGCTGACCTCAAGCCTCCTTCCACAAACAGATCCTCAGCATTACCCATGACCCCGGTGAAGAATGGATATTGGCAGGCTTGAGAACAAGTGATATCGCATTCCTTCACACTCTTCGGAATGAGAAGTTTAAGGTTGTCATGAAAAAATACACCCGCCACCACAGCCTCAAGTTTGCTTCCTGTGGTGAGAAGTCAGGTGACACCCCCGGGTGTCCGGTTTTGAACTCACTTTTGTCTCTTCTTTCTCTATTCACCCCCCTTTCGTTTTCTGGCTCCCTCCGTAATGGGAGCTTTCTGCACAGAATGATAGCCTAAAGACACAGGCAGATGGAAAAGGCATGAACCTTATCTGATTGTCCTTCTGTGGTTCCGGGATAACCATGATCCTGCGTGTGGTAGGAGAGTGGGGGCAAATAAGGGAATGGCTTAGGTTGTGTGTCTGATTTTCATAGATGAGGAAACGGAGGCAGAGAAGAATTGCCCTTTTCTCAGTCTGGTTGGGGACAGTGCTGGAACTAGAATGCAGGATCGGTCTCTGCCCTCTCCATCTGTTCTTTTCTTCATCAGGGAGCTATTTTGTGACGGCAAAAGATGCATGCATCAGTGGCTTGGAGGCACCTTCTTTACAAAAGTTGTTTCAGGTACTGGACACAGGGATGCCTGAACCCGGGCACTCAGAGTTTATAGCTCCAGATCCCAGTTGAGTGGATTCTTGGGGGTGCTGGAAAACGCCTCTGAGATAGCACCCAGGGCAGTTTTACAGAGTCGGGGAAATGAGGACTTCATATTCTGTGAACTCCCAAGCTACCTGGAGCCCTGAGACCTGGCCCCGTCCTCAGCCTGAGCCTTAGGTCCATGCTGAGCTGTGAAACAGGCTTACATGAAGCCTCCGTGTTTGCCCCAATCCTTGCTCCAAATGTGATCCCTTTGTTGGCCCTTCCATCCATCTAGGTAGAGGAGTCTTCAGGTATCCTGTGCTGTGACGTGTCCTCTGACAACCAGTATCTGGTCATGGGCTCTAAGAGCAGTGCCATCATCTATCAGCTCTTGTATTAAAGATGGCATGCTATGACCCTGCCAGTGAAGGCCTAGTATTTGGGCTGGTGTGGCTGAGAGGATGGCTTCAGGGTGCTGGACACCTCTAATGCCCACCACCGCCTCTGCCTTGGCTTTAGTGGCAGGTCATCCCTCCCCTCCAACACCCCATTCTCAGCCCACACTCCCAGATTTTAATCAGATAACTTGGAGCTTTTTCCTTTGTTATCTTTCTACCACCGATTTCTGGGTTTTGGCAGGAAACTTGAAATCCCTTTGTAATGAATAAAATAGCAAAGCAGAAAACAAAATGGTCTGTATATGTGTCCCTTTCTTTCAAGTCACAAACTCATTGTGATGGATTGCTTACGCCTTCAGCAAATTCCAGGTGGGGAGGGAATTTTAGATCAGACTTAGTTTTGTTTATAAACACTTTTATTTTAAAGTGGGAAATTTTTGGAATCTTAAAGCTCAAGAAATGTAAGTCCAGGTGCTGACTTTGAGATTGTATCAGGGTGTTGACAGACCAGCAGTGCTCACCTCTTGACTCAGGTAAAAGTGCTGGCACTGGTCTAGCCGTGTTCTGAGGCCTGGCTCCCTTTTTGTGCCTAACTTCAGTGATAGAGAAACTCCCTGTTCATGCCACTTCACTGTCTCCGACTCCTTAAAAGTCCTGATGCTAATTCTGGTGTTTGGTGCTAATCAGAGCTACCTAGCTCACTGTTTCAGAACACCTTCCTCATGTTTGAGAATTTGACAATGTAGTATTATATCTGGGCTTCACCAGGCTGGAAAGGTCCCAGCTCTTGGGAAAAAAAAAAGCCATATAGGCCTGCTTTCTAGTCTTCTTCCATCAGCGTCCTCTTTTTGGGTTGGTGTTTGTACAGCTGAGACTGCTAGCTGCCCACTGAAGCTCATGGCTTGGAGTTTTCCCTGGGAGGAAGCTGCAATGCCAAGGGCCAAGTTTCCCATCTTTGCAACATGTAGATGTTGTCAGGAACTTAGTTCTTGCCAGTGGATTGTGAGTGAATAACATGTGTCAGCTTTGGGCCAGGCCTAAAGGACCAGGACTGTTCCCTCCAGCGTCTCCTTCCCCTTCCACCAGCTCAAGGCAAATAATGTGGAGGCCCCAGGGCACTGCAGAACCACAGGGTAGAAGCATCCTGTGTGCATGAGTCAGACATGGAGAAAAGCTGCCCACCTTGGGCTATGGCATGGAAGAAGAAGAAGCTTGTATTTGACCTGTTGTTGATGTGGGGGTCTATTTGTTACTCCAGCTCTGGAAATAGCAAACTTTTTCTTAAGTTGCCAGAGAGTAAATATTTTAGGCTTTGCCATATGACTTTTGTGGCAGCTATTCAACTGTGCTGTTATTATAGCATGAAACTGGCCATAGATAATACCTAAGTGAGTAAGTGTGAGCTTTATAAACTAAGCTTCATAAAAACAGCAGTGGGACAGATTTGGCCTGTTGGCTGTAGTTTGCAGCATCTGCTATACCCAGTGCACCTCTAAATAATGTAGTAGTGTAACTGGGATCTATTAGATATGATACAGAGGGTAGAGACTACCAGTAGATCTATCCTATTGGGCTATAGTAACAAATAGACTCAAATCTATAACAAGTGCTCATCGATGAATGAATGAATATACAAAATATGGTGTGTGTGTATGTATAGACACCCAAAATGGAATTTCATTCAGCCTTGAAGGAAATTCTGACACGTGCTACAACATGGATGAACCTTGAGGACATTATGCTAAGTGAAATAAGCTGGTCACAAAAGGACAATACAGGCGTTTGATTCTACTCATATGAGATATTTAGTCAAATTCATAGAGACAGAAGGTGGAATGGTGGTAACCAGGGGCTGAGGAGAGGAGGTATGGGGAAACTGTTGAATGGGCAGAGTTTGTTTTGCAAGATGAGAAAATTCTGAAAATGGATGGTGGTGGTGGTTGCACAATAATGTAATGCATGAAATACCACTCGCTATATAATTAAAGATGTTAAGATGGTACATTTTATGTTATGTGTATTTTAAACAAAGAAAAAAATCTAGGGAATTATAAAGATCAAATTCAGAATAGTAGTGAGCTCTAGGGACAGGGGGATAAATCTGATTATAAAGGAATAGAAAGGGGCCTCACCTCTATGTGCAATATTCATTTTTAAAAAAATAAATCAAGGTTCATCAAAATTTAAAATGTGCTTCAAAGGACACCACAAGAAACTGAAATGATAACCCACTGAATAGGAGAAAACATTTGCAAATTATATTTCTGGTAAGGCACTTGTATCCACAATATATAAAGAACTCTTACAATTCAGCAACAAAAAGACAACCCATTTTTTCAAAGGGCAAAGGGTTTGAACAGACACTTCTCCATAGAAGATATACAACCGGCCAACAAATACGTGAAAAGGGGCTCAATGTCATTTGCCATTAGGAAAATGCAAAACAAACCCAAGGGAGATATCTCTTATCATCAGCTAGGATGGCTAAAGTGAAAAAGATGGTAACAAGTGTTGGCAAGGATGTGGAGAGATTAGAATCCTCATATGTTGCTGGTAGGATTGCAAAATGTTGCAGTCACTTTTTAAATGTTTGGAAGTTCTTCAATACGCTTAACAAAGAGTTACCATATGATTCAGTAATTCCACTTCTAAGTATAAATCGAAGAGAATTAAAGACACACTAGTTGGGAGGGTAATAATTGGGAGTGAGAGTACAAGAATTTTAAAATGCTTTCTGGAAATAAGATAAAAGTCCCAATTAATAGCAGTGTTGATAAATCAAGGAGTAGCATTGTAATCTCTAGGTTAATTGCTAAAAGAATATTAAACAAGTGTACAGCTTCCAAGAAAAAAAAAAAAAAAAAAAAAAAAAAAAAAAAAAAAAATAAAAAAAAAAAAAAAAAAGAAAAAAGGAACAAAGAAGAAGCAGAAAAGGAAATGCTTACTGAAATGATAGATTTAAATCCAAATATAGCAGTAATTCTATTAAATGTAAGTGGATTAAATATTCCTGTTAATCTGTAGAAGTCATAACAATTTTAAAAATCTCAACTGTGTTTGAAGATACATTAAAACATAAGGGCACAGAAAGTATAGCAAGAATAGAAAAAGATACTTTCTGCACAAATCAAAGAAAGTTGATGTTATATTAATATTAGACAACATATACTATAAAACAAAAATTTGAGATAAAGGTGAACACTTCATAAGTGTTCAATTCAGGTTCAATTCATCAGGAAGACACAATAATTCTGTTTTTATGTAGTTATTACTTTAGCCTCAAAATACAAAAAGAAAAACCAACAAATGAGACAAGTTTATGTCTGACAGTGACCAAGAGTTCAAACAGACAAAAAATTTTTAAGGGTACAGAAGCTTTGAATAATATGATTAGAAAACTTAGAACAAGACACACAACCGCTACAGAATACACACACACACACACACACACACACACACACACACACACGGCATTTACAAACAACCATATACTTGAGCCACAAATTTCAAAGGATTTAACTTTTACCGAATATATTGTTTGACCACAATGCAATTAAGATATAAATAATAAAAAGAAAACCAGAATTTTCCTATTTGGGAAATTAAGAAAAACTTCTAAATAACTAATAGAGAATAAACTACAAAATAATTAGAATCTATTGTAATGAAAAATATGGATTCAGCTAGAGCTAGAATCAGAGCTTGTCATTCAAGCCATGTCCCATCCCCATCTCCTGGATCTCTTGAGGTTGGGTGTTGACTGCGTGGGTCTTCGTGGCTCTTGAAAGGTGGGTCTGGGATGGAGCGAGGGTGGAGACAAGGCCTTTCTCCTAGCAGGTGAAGGTCGGGGAAAAGGAGATCGGGAGTAGTCTAGGAGACTGATTTTCACAGATGTTGCAAAAGGAATTGACTCAATTTAGCTCTCATCAGCAGTGCTTAGCGTCCATTTGCCTACATTCACGCCAACATGTGTGTTTTCTCATTTTAGAGTTTTTTTTTTTTTAAAGAAAAAACAAAAAACAAAAAACCCAGGCTGGAGTGCAGTGGTTTAATGACGGCTCACTGTAGCTTCAGCTTCGACCTAAGTGATCCTCACCTCAGCCTCCCGAGTAGCTAGGACTAGAGGCACGTGCCACTGCACCTGGCCATTTTTAAATTTTTATTTGTAGAAACAGGGTCCCATTGTATTGCACAGGATGGTCTCTAAATTCCTGGGTTTAAGCTATTCTCCTTCCTACCTTGGCTTCCCAAAGTGTTGGGTTTACAGATGTGAGCCAATGCACCCGACCTCATTTGTGGATTTCAATTCCTTGGAGAGGGAACAATGGCCATTTCTGTGGCTGTGATCTGAGTTTCTTTTGTTGTGAGCGAGGTCGAATCTTTGCGAGTTTACCTAAGCATGTACTTACGAAGTCGTGTGGCGGGGTCCCACTCTCCTGTACACCTGGCTCTCAGATGTCGACACTTCTTTACCCTCTGGTCTCTGAGGGGCACACCTACTCCTTGCCCACGGTTCAATGTGCTTTGCAGGGTGACATCCCTCTAGCGGCTTCTAACCACCTTTGCTGCATATTTTTTCAATTTGTAAAGCAGATCGTAGCACAACAAAACAAGTGCCCTCTCTGAGGCTCGAACTCAGGACCTTCAGATTATGAGACTGACGCGCTGCCCACTGCGCTAAGAGGGCCTTCGCTTAGGGGTGCTTTCTACCTTTCATAAGAAAATACCTGCAGCACATTCCGCTCGCTAAGTCGCTTCTGCAAGGTCGGGCTTGCAGGCAGAAGCACCTGGTCTCCCCCAGTGGGGACACGTGGGAGGGTCTCTAGCGGGAACGGAGCAGCCTGGCCTCAGGGAACGAGCCCCGCGCTGGGAAGAAAGCTGCCTGCCGGGAGTGCATCCTCATGAGGACCCGGAACCCGAGCCGCCGCGGCTCACCCAGAGGAGGGGGGGCCCTGGGGTGCGTGTGCGACGCCCGGCGCGCAGACTCTGGGCACGGCCACGTGGGGACAAGCTCCGAGGCGTGACAGGGCCCGGGCGCCAGGGAAGCAGAGGACGCGCGGCTGGGTCTGGTGCAAGCGGTGGGGGTGGCGAGGACCGGGGCGCAGGGGAGAGGAGGCTGCAAGGGGCGCCCCCAGCTGGGGTCCTCAGTCTCCAGGGCGACGGTCGCTTGAGTGGGCGGGAGATGGGCTCGCGTGGCTGCCAGTTGCAGGGTCTCAGAGTGGACTGAGGCTGGAGCGTGCGACGCCGGCCGCGGGTGGGCGTCAGGGGCGACCCCGGGGCCAGGGGTGCCTAGGGCCCTGGGGAGCAGGCGCGCGTTGGAGAAGGAAAGCAGGAGGGCGGAGAAGGGGTCTGGGGCGTGACATCTCCAGGCCCAGGCCCTGGGGTCGGGATGGGGGTGAGGTGGAAGAAGGGAGGGAAGATTCCAGAACGTGAATTCAATCGGAAAATGGAGGGAAGAAATTATGGTTGTCTTGGACTTGCCAGTTCATTTGTTTATTGCATCCCGCGTTTTTCTTTTTCTCTCCTTTTTCAAATCACCTTGCTTCCTGGTTACACGCAGGGGCCTTTCATTTTGAAGGGCAGTGGAGTCACGCTGCTTGCTCTGAGCAGGCCTCTACAATTATTGTCACTTGAAAAGACGACAGGAATAAAGGGTGCGGGGAGGGATGGGCCTGCGGATGGGTGGGTGGAGGAAACTCTCCCCATCTCAAGGTTCCCTCCTCACTCCTTCAGGGAAGTTACTGCCCCAGGGAGTCTTCGCCCCATCCCATTGCCCAAAACCCACTCTTGGTAAGATGACCACCTTGAACTTGTCAGCTTACTCATTCTCTAAGCCCTTGTGGCATTTTTGCTTGTTTTCACCAGATAACCCATCATATATTTCAATACCTGAAAGGACTAGTGTCTTCCACCCCCAACCCCGCACGCACACACCTGCTCTTCTGTACAGGGCTTCAGTGCTCCTTTGGGAACTGGTTTTGGGTGATTTCTTGCACAGCTGGTCACTCTGATTCTTCCTTCTCTGATCTCGTAGGGCACTTGGTGATTAGTACTTTCCGCGGTTTGAGGCGGTTCTCAGTTGCTCTCTCTGTGGCAGTCCTGTCCTCCATCAGACTGGGACCTCTGTGTCCAGAGACAGGATCTGAGGCCCCCCTGGACGGGCCACATTCCATGAACCCAGAGGTATGGGGAAAGGGAGGCTCTGGATCCCACCCACAAGCCATTCCATTCCCCAACCTGCTGTCTCCATTCCAGGTTCAGTGCAGGAGGAAGAGTTTGAAGGGGGGAAAGCGCATTGCCCTGCGTCTGTGGCCTGGGTGTGTTTCTCTCTGCCAGCAGCCAGCCTTGAATCTGGGGCTCCCCTCCTGTTCCTCTTGGGGACATACACACTCTTTCCTGGGGAGCAGGAGGGGGAAGCTGATGGACAGGTAGCATCCCCAGTGGAGGTGGTTCCCAGGTGCTCTGAAGAGCTGCTCAGCCAGAGAAGCTGTAGAGGGAAGGAACATAGTTTGTTCTAGCAATCCCGCTAAACACACTTTTCAAGATGTCCCTGCTCCCAACCTTCAGTGGCTTCTCCCTGCCCTTGGGGAAATATTACACAGGACCCTGCAAGGACAAGGCCACCCACGTTCTCCCACCCAGGTGAAATGGGACACACACTTCTACGGACCCATGCAGAACCTTCCTGCCATCCTCCCCTTACCCAGTCCTCCTACGCCAGCATCTGTTATACACAAAACCCCTTCCTTCTGGCCTCCCTTTGCCACAGTGGCCCAGAACTAGCAGGGAATGTTTTTCTTTCTTTGCTGCTTCTTTGTGCCTTTCCTCTTTCCCTGAGCTGATTTTCTTAGGGGCAGAGGCCGGTATGGAGTTTTCTGAATTCCTTGCAGGAGGTTTGCAGGAAGTAGTTTTTGCGTATTGATTTGTGAAATGTCAAGATTGGAGACAGTTCTACGTAGGATGCAGAGATCCAAGTGTTCAGTGTTAGGGGTGGGTCTGTGAGGCTGGGTGAGTGGTAAGAACAGGAGACATGGACAATGCCAGGGGCAGGGTGGCTGTGAGATGAGGCTGGCATGACCAGCGGGGAGGAGGAGGCTGTGGAAGATTGGAAGGGGTTGGGCACTGGAGCAGCCCCAGGACTTTGGTGGGCAGGGAGGGAGAAGCGGATGGGAGGCGGCAGGACCAGGGACCAGTGATAAAGGCACCACCCATGCCTTCTCTGTCTCCCCAGGCATTTCTTACTGTTTTCTTTATGCCTGAAGCCGTTCCCCCTTCACATTCAGCTAAGATATGATCCCGACCGCGAGGCGTCCCCTCACTTTTTTGGCTGGCATTTGTTTGTTTTTAGACAGTCTTGCTCTGTTGTCCAGGCTGGAGTGCAGTGGCGAGATCTCAGCTCACTGCAACCTCTGCCTCCCGGGTTCAAGTGGTTCTTGTGTCTCAGTCTCCCAAGTAGCTGGGATTACAGTTATGTGCCACCACCAGCACCCGCTAATTTTTGTATTTTTGGTGGAGTTGGGGTTTCACCATGTTGGCCAGGCTGGTCTCGAATTCCTGACCGCAGGTAGTCTGCCTGCCTCAGCCTCCCAAAGTGCTGGGATTACAGGCATAAGCCACCATGCCCAGCCTTTTTTAATTTTTTGAGACAGGGTCTTGCTCTGTCACCTGAGCAGGAGTGCAGTGGCATGATCTTAGCTCACTGCTGCCTCAAACTCCTAGGCATAATGATCCTCCTGCCTCAGCCTCCCTAGTAGCTGGGACTACAGGTGCATGACACCATACCCAGCTAACTTTTTTTTTTGTACAGATGGGGGTTTCGCTTTGTTGCCCAGGCTGGTCTCAAACTCTAGACTCAAGCAATCCTCCTGCCTTGGCCTCCAAAGTGCTGGGACTACAGGCGTGAGCCACCGCATTGGGCTCCTCTCTTACTAGTGCCCCACTGTGGAATCTTCAGGACCCTGTTGGTGAGGTCATATCAGGGGCCCAGTATACACAAGGGAATTTTTCCTCTCACTGCATGGCTGAAATCATTGACTCACTGAAGACCTACAGATTCAAGTTCCAGGAAGTCTCTAACAAAAAAGAAGAAACAAGGAAGGAAGGGAGGGAGGGAGGGAGGGAGGAAGGGAAGGAAGGGCGGGCTGAGTACCATGGCTTATGCTTGTAATCTCAGCCCTTTGTGACCCCCTGTCTCTACAAAAAAATTTTTAATTTGCCAGGTGTGGTGGTGTGCACCTGTAGTTCCAACAACTCTGGAGAATGGTGGGAGAATCACTGAAACCCAGGAGGTGGAGGTTGTGGTGAACCGAGATGGTGCCACTGCACTCTAACCTGGGTGATATAAAATAAAATAGGAGAACCTCCTGGGGTAGGTCACTAAATCCACCACCATGCAGAGCGAAGCTGCCCAGGTCTCTGGTAGGGTTGTCTGTAATTTCTGGTCCTTCCTCCAGTGGGAAGTCTTGCATTGCATCTTACACCCCAGTACATGGCCATGGATGCAAAGGGCCCTGTGGGAGACCTGGACTGGATGCGTGACCTTAAGAATGTCTCTTCCCTCTCTGGGTTTGTTTCTCCTCCATGAAATGATGGGGTCAGCCCTGTGCACGGTTGTTAGAGTAATCTGTTCCTCCCCAGGTCTGTCATGCTGGGCTGTGTAACCTTTGACAAGTGTCTTAACCTCTCTGTTCCCATAAAATAGTGATTATACCTGAATCTACTTCACTAGGCTGCTGGAGGGAGATTATATTATAGAGTGCACAGAATGAGACTAGCATAGGAAGGCAGTGGCTGATCACTGACTGTCACTGATCACTGACTTGCAGCCACTTAGAGCTGGAGGATCCCTCCTGGCCTGGCCAAGCCCTCTCTCCTCACCACGTGGTGTGGAGTGGGTCCAGTTATTCTCAACACCCCCTGCTAGGAAGTAGGAGTGGCTTCCAGAGATGCCAGATTTTAGGCCAGTCTGTTATATTCCCCTGGTTCCCACCGGGATAGCTGAGGAACGCCTGCCACTCACCTATGAAGAAGGATTTATTTACAATGTAAAATTTATCATACATTTCTTTTTCTTGAAGTGAATATAACCTCAAGATTTTTTTGTCTTCATCATAAAACAAAGGGTGAAATTTAGAACTGAATCACTTGGCCCTTTCTCTTCTTATCTCCTCCCAGTTCAGAATGCTTGCATCTCCTCATAGACAGCAGCGACTTAGATCTGCAGCTGGGCTCAGCGCTCAAGCCTTGGCACTGTCTCCTTTGTAGTTTTAGCCTTTTCCTGAAAAACTGGCTTACTCACAGAAATCAATGGCCTTTAGATATACAAACAATACTTAGGTTAGAGGACTTAAGAAAACCCCATGTATAATAGCGACAAAGAAGATTAAATACTTAATAAGAAATGTGAAAAATCTTAAAGAGGAAAATTTTACAACACTTCTAGAAAACAGAAAAGCAGGTAGAGTGGGAAAACATGCCTTGTTTTTGGCAATCACAACTCAATATCAAGATGCCCATTCTCCCGAAGTTGACTAACAAATTGAATGCCATTCCTATAAAAATACCAACAAGCTTTGTTTCTGGAGTTGATAAGTTGATACTAAAGTTTGTATGGGAAATGCACATGCTGGAATAGCCAGGGAAAAACTGACACAAAATGGGGGTCTAGCCCTAAGGCTATTAAAACAAACTATAAAGCCTCTGTAATTAGAACAGTGTGGCATTGGCCACATGAACAGGCAGACAGACCAGTGGAATAAAATAGAAAGTACAGAATAGACCTAAGTACAAACGAAAATTTAGTGTATGATAAAGGTGGTATGTCAAATCTCAGAGGCAATGATGGACTATTTATTTATTTAGTTAGTTAGTTTTTGAGATGGGATCTCACTCTATCACCCAAGCTGGAGTGCAATGTCACAAACTAACTAACTAAATAAATAATCTCCTGTGTGATACTTTATTTATTTAGTTAGTTAGTTTTTGAGATGGAGTCTCACTCTGTTGCCCAGCCTGGAGTGCAGTGGTGCAGTCTTGGCTCACTGCAACCTCCATCTCCTGGGCTTAAGTGATCCTCATGCCTCAGCCTCCCAAGTAGCTGGGATTACAGGTGTGCACCACCACACCTGGCTAATTTGTGTGTATGTGTGTGTGTGTTTTTAGTAGAGATGGGGTTTCATCATGTTGGCCAGGCTGATCTCAAACTCCTGACCTCAAGTGATCTGCTCACCTCGGCCTCCCAAAGTGCTGGGATTACAGGTATGAGCCACTGTGCTTGGCCCAGGCTTTTTAAACATATGCCAGTTACTGGAGGAGCAGTTGGTGGGTGGAATGTTGTGGAGTGAACAATCTAGGAGGCAGTTGGAAGTGGCTCTGAGCAGACAGGACCATTTGCAGATGAGGCGGCTGTTAAGAGGGATGGGTCAAGCGATGGAGGGTAGCTCTGTGAACTGAAATAGGTGAATTGGGAGGGGATGCTGTCGAGAGAACAGGTAAGTCCTGCTCTTACTGTGACTGGGGCTGGGAGAGGCATCTGAGCACAGATTCCTGCCCTCCAGGATATGGTACTGGGATAATGGGGTACTCTGTTTTTGAAAAAGATAAAATTAGATCCATTGTTCACAGCATATATAACGATAAACTCAAATGGATCATGAATTTAAATGTAAAAAATGAAAACATGTAAGTACTGGGGGGAAAGGTCCATGGGTGAATTTCTCTTAACCTCAGTGTAAGGAAAGGATTTGAAAGCATCACTCAGAATCCAGAAGCAATGAAATAAAAGACTGGAAAATTGAACATGGCAGAAACAAAACAAAACAAAACAACAACAAACAAAAAAACCACAAACCACAAAACACCAAAGTAACTGAAAAATTAAGAGAAAATATTTGTAACACATACTACAGACAAAAGGTTAATATCCTTAATAGAGAACTCTTAAAAACTGATGTACAGTGGATGAAATACTCAATAGAAAAATGAGAAAAGACTTGGACAATTCATGCATATATTAAAATGGTCCTCAAACATATACCAGTTACTGAGACAATGTTGTGGGGACAAAAATAGACACAGTTCCTTCCCCCAGGGAGTTTCCAGTTCACTGGGAAAGTCACACACTGGAAACTAACTTGAATGGGGGCAGAATATGGTTAAGATTCAAGGGCTAGGCTGGGCGTGGTGGCTCCTGCCTCTAATCCAAGCACTTAGCTGAACCAGGAAGATCACTTGAGCCCGGGAGTTTTGAGAGCAGCCTGGGCAACATGATATGACCCCATCTCTACAAAAAATTTACAAATTAGCCGGGCGTGGTGGTGCACACTTCTAGTTCCAGCTACTTGGGGGCCTGACGTGGGAGGATCACTCGAACCAGGGAGGTTGATGCTGCAGTGAGCCGTGATCGTGCCATTGCACTCCAGGATGGGTAACAGAGGGAGACCCTATCTCAAAAAATAAAATCAAGGGGTGGGGTGGATTTCATCTGAGGAGCCAGCTTGAAGGTGAGGAGGACAGTTGGTGGAGTGGAATGTTGGGGAGTGAACAATCTAAGAGGCAGTTGGACCTGGCAGTTGAGCAGACAGGACCATTGGGTAATGAGGCGGCTGTTGGAGAGGGATGGGTCAAGGGATGGAGGGTAGCACTGTGGGCCAAATTAGGTGAATTGGGAGGGGATGCGAGAGAGAGGTAAGTCCTGCACTTATTGTGACTGGGGCTGTGAGAGGCACCTGAGGACAGAGTCTTGCCCTCCAGGATCCCACGGTCCTGAGTGGAAACCAGCAAGGCCTTGATGAACTAGATGTCTGGAGAGAATGAACTTAGTGCTTTAGTGGAGGGACCAGGGGCAAGTTCCCTAAGGCTCAGACTAGAGTTGGGGCTGGTTGGGTTTCAGGGGAAGACAGACGTCCATGTGTATCTAGCGCACTGGTTCTCTGGACATGTGGCTGTGATGGTCAAAGAAGAAAACCAAGGCTAAGAACAAAGACTTGAGATTTGCTCCCACAACTGTCAGAGAAGGAGTTATGGAAGAAGAGCATGGTCTGAGGGTCATGGAGCTGCCAGGGTAGAGTCTTAGGCAGTCTCACATTGGAGGCCACAAGAAAGAGTAGTCAGGAGAGGGGTTCTTGAGCCAATGATCAGATTCAAGTCCCTGTTATGCTCATGTGCCAGCTCTGCCCTTGAGTTTTCTCATCTTTAAATTGGGGAATGAATCAAACCCATCTCAGTGCATGACTGTAGGACCAAATTAATTCATATATGCAAAGTGTTTTAATATGGGCAAAGTACTTAACAAACACTGCTGTTAATTAGGGGGCAAGAAGAGATTGAAGGAGCAACTCAGGGGGCTCCAGAGAATACTAAGAATACTACGATGGTGCAAAGTCATGTGTTATATGTAAATTTCGGTGCTACAAAGAAAAGTCAGTACTGGAACAAAGGATCTCTCAGCAAAGCAATTCTTTTTACTTCCTGCAGAAAGGGTATCCTCATTAGCAATCTTGCCATGAGTACAGCGGACAAAGGAAAAGCAGACATATTTATCCCTTACGCATTTGGGGTTGTCATTACCGCTGTGTCTGATCTCTGTTGGTTAGAGCCAGACCTCGTAATCTAAACTAAAACCCAACTGGCTAATAACTTAAAACTTTTCCAAACAGATAAAAGTAACGGAGAACAAAAAGAAGTCCAAATAAAGAAGGGGCATAGGCTGCGAGCTGGGACATGCCTGTGAGCATGTCCAGCACAGATACCTTGGTTAAAGTACAAGGACATAGAATGTACTACGTGCCTGTGAGCATGCCTAACAGCCACATAGACAGGGCTTAACAAAGAGCTATGAGCAGAAAGCAAGAAGGCTTTGAAGAAAGTGTTTAAAACAAACTGTAATTTCTATACTTATGATTTTTCTTAAATAAGAAAGGAAACTTTGAAGAGGAACTTTTCTACTGCCTGCACCATGGAAGTCCTGGGAAAAGCAGGTAGAATGGAGTCACCATCACATTGAGCTAGATGCTGGGTAGGTAACATGAATTATCACAGGTGTCACTGTAGTCTCTGGAGGGAATTCCTATGGCTATCCCCACCCCACAGTGTAACGAGCTCAAGGTCACAAGAGTATGACCCACTTTTCCTGTTCTGATCTGGACCTTAAGTTTTATTTATTATTTTACTTTTTTGGAGATGGGGTCTTGTTCTGTCACCCAGGCCAGAGTGCAGTGGTGTGATCCTGACTTACTGGTGTCTCCCAGGCTCAAGCAATCTTCCCACCTCAGTCTCCCAAGTATCTGTGACTACAGGCACATGCTACCACACTTGGAGATTTTATATATATATATATATTTGTATTTTTTGTAGAGACAGGGTTTCACTAGGTTGCCCAGGCTGGTCTCAAACTCCTGATCTCAAGTGATCCACCCACTTCTCCCTCTCAAAGTGTTGGGATTACAGGTGTGAGCCACCACGCCCAGCCTGGACCTTCAGAATGAAATAGCCCTTGGGTTAAAGGCTGGTCTCCCTTAGAGATGGTCATTTGCAGGGCACCTTCCAAGGGCTAATGCTCTGGCAAAGGCTGGTGACCTCGAGATGAATGAGCCTTGAGCCACGTCATCAGTCAGCCCTCAGGATGAGGGATCCTGTAGCCTCTCTCTTCGTTGCATCATCTCCAAAACACGACAGGACTGATGCCGGAAGGTCTTTCCAAGGCCCAGACTCCTCCCCTGGCTCAAACACCTTCCATGACTCTCTGTGGCCTCCAGCCCAGAGTCTGAATTGGCTCTACCTGGCCCAAGTGTTCTGACTGCTTTTAGGGTCTGGTCTGTGCCCTGAGGCCCTGTCCCATCTCAGCTTTATCTCCCACAACTGCCCAGCCTTTACCTATGCCCTGGTCCTGTGGATCCTTTCTTGCGTATCAACACCCTACATTCATCTTGGTCTTTTGGTCTGAAATGCAGCCCCTCCCTCCACCAGCCCCTGAAACCTAACCCACCCTCCTCCTGCACCCCTCAGACTGCAGGAAGTCTTCCCAGGTTGCAAATCCAAACTGGTCTTTTTCTCCCTTCTCTGTTTTCCTAGATTTGGAGATGGATCTAGTACATGACTCAAGGTAAGAGGTTGTGTTTGGCTGATACCACCTGTGTCTGTCTGGAGTCAGCTATGAGGATAGAGGCTCCTTGAGCCAGGAATGGTATCTTAGTCAACCCTGGCATCCCCACAGGACATGTGCTAACAGGGAAATTCAAAGAACCCCCCAAACTCTTGCCACCATTTCTCACCCTCTTGTGCCCAGGCCCACCTCTGGGTTGGAGGAGCAGGGTGCTGTGGAGAGAGAGCAGTGGTCCTGGAGTCAGGATCTTCAGGTTTGTGCCATCCTACTGAATATACAGCCAATGACCTTGGACAGAGGGACTCCTCCCTTGGGGCTTTAACTTCTGCATCCACAGAGTGTAGATGTGGCATTGGGCCAGGACCTCCCAAGCGCCTTTTTGGTAACTAAGACCGCAAGTTCTTCGACTTTTAATGTGCACATGAATTCCCTGGAGAATCTGTTAAATTGCAGATTCTGATTCAGTAGGTTTGCGAGAGGTCCTTGTTTCTAACAAGCTCTCAGGTGGCCCTGATGCTGGTGATCCGAGAGCCACGCTTTGCAGTAACAAGGGTCTAGACCGGTAGAAGAGTGGCCCGAAAGGTCACTCTTTCCCTCCTCTACTCCCTTCTCCATTTTAAATTAAAGTTTCCCTTGGGAGATTGTTAAAAGATGTTAGGGGCCTGGCTCAGTGGCTCAAGCCTATAATCCCAGCACTTTGGGAGGCCGAGGCCGGCGGATCACTAGCTCAAGAGATCGAGACCATCCTGGCCAACATGGTGAAACTCCGTCTCTACTAAAAATACAAAAATTAGCTGGGCATGGTGGCATGCGCCTGTAGTCCCAGCTACTCGGGAGTCTGAGGCAGGAGAATTGCTTGAACCCGGGAGGCGGAGGTTGTAGTGAACTGAGATTGTGCCACTGCACTCCAGCCTGGCGCCTGGCGACAGAGTGAAACTCTTGTCTAAAAAAAAAAAAAAAATGTTAGGATGGCACCCCGGGGCCACTGAACCAGAATTTGTAGGGGTGAGAACTTGGTTTCGGCAGTGTTTAAAGCTCCCCGAGTGAATCCTGCGTGCCGCCAGGACTGGGAACTGCTCCCCCTCGTGGATGGAGAACTTCAGCAAAGGGTTTTCAGGCAACACTTTTTGTCTCTGCTGCCCCCTTGCGGCTATCTCGTTCACCAACAGTCAGATCTCAAGCCCTTTTCTCTAGAGAGATGGAATCGCAGAACAATTAGGAAAATAATGGCGCTGCCTATGGTGGACAGGCTTCCCTGAGACCCCGAGACCCCAGCACCCACCGTGCCATGGGCGGGCTCCTCCTCTGCCCTGATGCTGAAGACGATTCCTTAAACAAGGGCCTTGCTCCCAGTGTCCTGGAGGTAGCCCACATGAATAGGGAAAACTCCGGGTGGGGCAGGAATGGAAAACAGCCGGGGGCCCTGCAGCCGGCAACTGAGACAGAGGTTGGATAGAGCAGGTCCAAGAGAAACTTCCTAGGAGAAGGTGTGCCCTGAACCCAACCCTCAGCTCTCCTGGGCGGGAGCCACAAAAAGCCTTAGATGCCGACGTGAGGTCTGGGTTGCTTGACGGTAAGCCAGCAGGGGGCACTCTGGCGCCACATAGTTCCCAGGTCGGGTCCCCTAGTCTTCGCCCTCTTGACTGGGAACTGTCCACCTCGGTGCAGGATGCCCCAGGTGCAATGCGGTAGCTCAGAGGCCCTGGGCGTGGCTGTCTGCAGCTGGCTGGCTTCGCTCTGTGCCAGGTGCAGGGTCAAGGAGACTCCCATGCATACAGCCTGCTGTCGCTGGGATGAGGAGTAGGAAGGTTCTGATGCTGCTGCCCATTCAGAAATGCAAAGTGGCCCAGTCCATGAGCACAGGTCTCGTCCCTACTGTGCCCTGACCGCTGTGTGATCTTGACACATTCATCTCATCTCTGCGGGCCTGCTTCTCCCTCATCCAAAGCATCCTCCAAGCCATCCTGGGCTGTGGTGCTGCTCTGCAGGCAACATGGAGTTGGACTCATGGTTAGTGGGGCTCATGTTGCCCTTAGCGGGCCAGACTCAAGGGAATCAACTTTTTTTTTTTTTTTTGCCTTCTGCTGTAGGGCCTGGTTCTGGGCTGGACTTTTCCCATCCTCTTTTCAAAAGCCACCCTTGTACAATTATGGGGATGAGATTCAGCCCAGGAAAGGAGAGAGGACCCTCCTAAGAGATTGATACTGAATAGGGCTCAGCTGAGGACAGGAAGATCTCTTTTCTAGCCAAGCTGTAATCCAAGCACTTTGGGAGGCTGAGTTGGGAGGATCACTTGAGATCAGCCTGGCCAACATGGTGAAACCCCATTTCTACTAAAAATACAAAAAGAATTAGCTGGACGTGGTGGCGCATGCCTATAGTTCCAACTACTTGGGAGACTGAGGCAGGAAAATCACTTGAGCCTGGGAGGTGGAGGTTGCAGTGAGCCAAGATCCTGCCACTGCACTCCAGCCAGTCTCAAAAAACAAAAAACAAAAAAACCCAAAAAAACTCTCCCCAAATCCCTTTTCTGTTAGTTGACAAACGCACTAGACAACAGGACACATTAGTACTGACTACATGACTGCCCTTTGTGAGAAATATCCAGAGATGGGTGCACATCTGAGTTGAATGGGGTTTGTCCTGGGGAGAGACGGGACTGAAAGGAACAGCAAGGGGGTTGGGGAGCTTAGCTTTAAAATAATGTTTTGGCCAGGTGTGGTGGCTCATGCCTGTAATCCCAGCACTTTGGGAGGCCAAGGCAGGTGGATCACTTGAGGTCAGGAGTTTGAAACCAGCCTGGCCAACAGTGAAACTCTGTCTCTACTAAAAATACAAAAATTAGCCTGGGCATGGTGGTGCATGCCTGTAATCCCAGCTACTCGGGAGGCTGAGGCATGAGAATGGCTTGAACCCAGGAGGCAGAGGTTGCAGTGAGTGGAGATGGTGCCACTGCACTCCAGCCTGGGCGATAGAGTGAGACTCAGTCTCAAATAATAATAATGATGTTTAACTCATTTAAAAAATGGGTTTGGTGTACCTATGGCAAATGGCACCTGCTAAATCTGGTTGGCTGTTGTTTTCTGAAAGACAGATTTGAGACTCGGATATGTGTATTTGCAAACTCGAAGACACATGCACTGCTGAAGGCAGTCTGGTGTAATGCAGTTTCTTGATTGCCACCGGCTTCCAACAGAGTTGCAGGTGTTGTGTTGGGTGGTTTTCAATAGCAATCAGACCAAAAGGGTGACTACTAGGATGTGAAGACAGAGGATGAGCTTCCTGGGGTCAAATTTTTGAGCTGGGAAGTCAGTCCCAGGCCATAGTGTCCAGCCAGAAGAGGACAGCAAGCTCGACTCCTGCATGACCACTAGCTCACCTGGTCCAAATGCAGCCTCTGGCTAAAAGGCAGAGAGAGACTGAGGGAACTGGAAAGAGGTTCAATGGAGGAAAAATGAGGCAACCTCAGGGATTCACTTTTACTCTCATTTCATTAAGTTCCAGATATTGGCAGACCGCTGGCCTCCCGAGGACCACAGGAAGGGGCCTGGCAGACTGGTGATCCCAGTCAGAGATGAAGAGGGTCCAATTAAGAGGAGCCGACTGATGCCTGGAGGTTTCCTCCCCAGGAGCGGCGAGCCTGTCAGAGCTGCACCTGGGCCTTTCTGTACCTGGGAGAGAGTCTGGGCATGATTGGCTGGCTTCCCACCAACACATGGGGCTCGAGGAGTGCACTGCCTCTGTTCCACGCCTGATGTCATCCACATCCACACCTGTGCATCTGGCCAGGAGAGTGACTATCACTGTTGAGGGCAGTGTGATGTGGCTGGCTAGATACTTCTGATGGTTTCTCTTGAGCTCAGCCTTTGCACTTCACCTGTGTGAGCCAGAGGGAAAGCTAGGGTGGAGATGGACCATCCTGGGTAAGCTGGGATCCCACAGTGAGATTCCACACCACGGGGTGTCAGAACCTCGAGTGCTGGTGGCAGCTGTGGTGGGGGTGGGGTGGCATTCCTGTCCTTTGCCACTCGTTGGCTGTGTCACCTTGGAAAAGTTATCTAAACCCCTTGGTGCCCCAGTCTTCTTTGTCCCATGGCAATCTGAGTAGTCCAGACCTGGTTGGATGACTCTGAGGTTTCAATGAGGTCATATATGCAAAAAGTTTTTTTTCAGCAGCATTCTTTTTATTTAAAAAGATTTTTTAAAATGGGAATACTCACTAAAAGGAGTATCTGACCTCAATATCTTTGGGTGTCTGGGATTGAGGGGTGTTCCTGAATGGGCATCAGGGATTGATAAACCCTTGTGTTATAGAGGAAAGAAACATGAAATGCAGCTTTAACAGTTAAAGACAGATTTACTTTAGATAAAACCTGAGAGGGGCCTTTCGGACAGTAGTGCTTTCTCTTACAGACTAAGAGTACATATTGGTTTTGGGATGAGGGGCTTTTCACAAGCTTGGAATGTTTCTGGGTTGGGGAGAAGTTTATGGCAAGGTTGGAATGTTTCTGGGCAGAGGGGAGGTTTATCTTGGAGCTGACATCTTCCCAGCTGGAGTGGGGTTATCTTGGGTCTAGCATGTCTGTGGCTGGGGAGGAGTTTGGAATGTTTCTGGTTGGAGATGTTATTTGTGGTTTATGACCATGCTGACCTTAGCCATTAGGCTGATGCCCTTTGGCTTTAGGTGGTTTTTGATTAAGGTGAATTTTAAAATGAGGCGCTAGTCCGCGATGGTGAGGCTCCTGCTCTGTCATCTTGCCCCCCTAAATTGCAAAGCTTTGTTTTTGTGTATGCATATATACATTTTTTTCCCCTAGGAGCAAAGGCAATAGCTTAACTAAGATGCTCAGAGGGGTCATGATGTAAAGATTGGATGCCTGGGGCGAGGGGTGTTTCAAGTGCCTTTATTTCAGACCAGAGCTTCTCACCCTGAGGAATAATGCCATTTGGGGCCAAATCATTCCTTGTTGTTGCAGACTGACTTGTGCATTGCAGGATGATTAGCAGCATCTCTGGCTCTACCCACAAGACACCAGTAGCACCCTCCACTCCATCCCCACCTTAGTTTTGCCAATAAAAAATGTCTGTCCGATGTCTCTGGGGAGGTGGTAGGAGGACAAAATTGCCCCGACTGAGAACTGCTGCTTTGTAATATTCCGAGTTGGAGGGAGCCCTCGATAAGTGGTTATTATTTGCTGTGTTGAAGTTTGGCAAGGTTTCTCTTCTGGACCTTGTTGATCTCCTCCTATTTCTGTGAGCTGCTTAAAGGACCCAGAGCAATCCCGGGAAAGTTGGCAACTACAGCTCTTCCAAACTCCAGCCCCATTGGATAGAAACACTGTCCTCTCATTGGTTGAGGCAGCCTGATCAACTGGAACTTGGTTCTTACTGTGTTTCTCCTTATGCAAGCCTAAAGGATCTCAGCCAGGGCAACATAGCGAGACCCTGCCTCTACAAAGAAAAAAAAAGAGACAGAGAGAAAAGAAACAAAATTCAGCAGGGCGTGGCGGCACATGCTTGTAGTCCCAGCTACACAGGAAGCTGAGGTAGGAGGATCACTTGATGCCAGGAGTTTAAGGTTGCAGAGAGGTATAATTGTGCCCTTGCACTCCAGCCTGGTTGACAGAGTGAGACCCTGCCTACACACACACACACACACACACACACACACACACACACACACATGCACACACGCACACACACACCCTAAAGGTTTTTGAGACAATAAAGTGCAACAGAAATCTTTCAGTCCTTTACTATTAGCTAAAATATGAGCTACAATTAAATGAAACAGTTGGTTTTGTGGGGAGCAAGATCTTGAGGTAATCTTCATTTGTGGTGAATACATTTCTGTTTAACCACAAGCCTCAGTGGCTCCTCTTTATAAGTAGTTCCTCATTCAGGGGAAAGATTGGAGAAGGTTCTTATGAGGAAGGACCAGCAGGAGACAGAGGTGGAAGAAAAGTTGGATGCATTTGAAGTCTCCACTAATTAGGAGGTGGCCTAAAAGATCCTGGGGAGCAGGGTGGGCACCTCCTTTTGGCACCCTGGATGTGGGGAGGGTCTCCAACGCTGTTTCGGCTGCTGCTTTGCTGCACCATCCTCCATGGATGGTTCGGCCCTTCTCTTGTTGGACTTCTTGTACACCTGCTCTAAAAACCTCCCCAGGAATTCCATACAACCCATGGAAGTGTTGCTGAGTAGGAGCGAGGAATCTTCCTCCAGATTTTTGAGAAGCTTTCTTTCTGGGTGACTCCAGAGCTTGCTTTGGGGCAGCCCCTCATGCACAAGTTTAGCAGCAGCGTAATTGCTCTTTGCTGAGGTTGTCCCAGGAATGGCACAGAGCACAAGAAGCAAGCTTTGGAAACACAGCTGGTGCAACAAGGAGTGCCTCTATGCCTTGGTGTAGGGAAGCAGGTCCTAGCTTTTGCCCTGAGTTGGTTGATGGCCGCAGGTATCACACAGTGTCTTTCTATTACAAGAATCAGCATGGAGTTGAATTCTAGGAGAAATGTCTCAATGGTGTTGAGCGTGGCCATTGGAGCCTCCTTTCCGGTCATGCAGACCTGGCTGTCATTTGCGCACGAAGCTGATCCTGTGAACTTGGTGCTTAAGATTCCAGTTAGCACCTTGTGATACCATGGTTGTGCCACAGAAGAAGGTAACATGTGGAGATGAACAGAGCTGGGTGAGGTGCGTGCACCGTGGAAGTGCTGCTGGCTGTTTCCAAGGCATTGAAAAGGCTCTCTGCAGAGGTGGCTGTTATCCCAGGACTCTAAATAATGACACCAGAACGTCGGTCGCCACATGGTATAGACCAAATCAGCGTTGCAGGTCGTCATTGTTATCAGAAATTCTGGTTTCCCACGAGTGTGGTGGCCACAGTGTTGGAGTATCAGATTTGGAGTCAATTACCAACATGCCTCCAAGAATACATCTCTTAAAGCCAGGCGCACTGCACAGAGGATTGCGGTGTGGATTATCCTAGCAGTGTCGAGTCCTCTCATTTGCTGTATGTACAGACAGCATAGCCAATGTTGGAGCACGTCCAGCCTCCACAGGTGGGGCTCCAATCTTCTAAATTTAGCTCAGGAGAGCCAGGGAGGGATGCTGAAGAGCTGATGATTGGGCTGACCCTGAACTGACCTCCTTTGGAAATCATGGAAACTATGGGCAGCCTGTGATGCCCAGCTCTTTAAAAGAGAAGGGTTTCTTGGATGTATTGGAGGGGCCTCAGCTGTAGGTAATAGGAGGTAAGCACTGCACTGGAGGCCTCAGATGGCCCTAGGGACTAGTTTTGATGCCTCCAGTCTACAATGGGGTCTTCCAGGAAGAAGAGAAAGATTTCACAGGTTTGCTGGTTATGGTTGGCGGGGTGGTTGGGGGGGGAACCTCACCCGCTAAGGAACTGGGGCCAGAACTCTAGGGGTCGAGGGTATCTTCTGGGAAGTCTCTGATGACTGTTGCTTCTCAGGGCTGTTTTGAGGGACACAGTTGGTTGAAGAGTCTTCTTCGGTGTGTTTTCCCTGAAATGTGTCTCCAGTTTGTCCTGAAACATGTCTCAAGTGACTGTGGCAAGGCCTCTTTTAACATCCTGTGCCACGGAGAGGGGTTCGTGGGCGTTCTTGTTCAGAAAGCAACCTGGGATTGTGTAAGGCCTTTCCTGTGGTTCTCACTTTTTAGCCAGGTCTTGGATTTTCTGTTTGTTTGCCTTCGCTTCCTCAAGCAGCCTCTGCTCTTACTCCTACCTGATCAGGCGTCTGTCCGCTGGGGGAAATTTTGCCGATGGCCCTCCTGGAGGCCTGTGAGATTGTACCTTCATTATCCAGATGAGCACTGATTCAATACAAGACGTGTTCAGACTCCTTCACTGTGACCCTTGCACAGTCACTCCTGCCCAGCTGGCCCAGCCTCTCACTTGGGCCTGGGAGGCTGCATCGTTTTAAACCTCCCTCTTTTTTCCTGACTCTGTTTGGACCACAGAACCATGGCTTGCTGCAGATGGCCTCCTGAAGGCTTGTGTGAGGTTTCATCTTTAATTTTTGGGAGAGCATTGGCTGTACCCGGGCCTCCCCTGTTCTTCCGGATGTGGCTCAGTCACACCTCTTCTTTCCATCTGGAAGGGAAGAGGGCCGCCTCTTTTGAACCATGGCGGACAGTGTTTTGCCCTGGGTTCATCATGAGTGGGCGCGTCAGACTTTGTTCTTACCCTGAGATTCAATGGCTTTCTGACTTGTGGTGCCTCGGATGCTGGGGAGGGTGAGGCAGGCAGGGTGGGGGCAGTGAGCGATGGCCAATGGCAATGGAAATTGGGGTGTTGACCCACCAACTCTGTCTCTCACAGGTTGAGGGATGCTCTGGGTAGGGGGTTCCCCTTTCCAGGATTTGTGGCCTCCCTGCCCTCTTGGGCCATTGTGGGGATTCACTCAGGGTGATGGCAAAAATATTAAGGGAAAAATATTAAAGTTACAGAAAATAGTCACATACATTCTTGGAAGGCCAAGAAGTTTGCACAGTTTCAGTAGAAGTTTGGGCTGAAGGCAGTCTAAATCCCCTTTGCCTTTAGTTAATAAGAAAAGCAAATAGTTTATGCCCATGAAGGAGTTCATCTGAATACCTTGTTTCCTCATGTGGTCTTAAAACTAACCTTTGAGCCAGATGGCACTCTCAGCGGGAGGTCGGCCGGTGGTGGGGGGGCGGATTACCCTCTAATGGTGTTTAGGCTCGGAATCTGGCTTGTAATCTTTCTCTACAAGTGTGTCGACTTAAAGTCTCTGTTACCAAATCTAAACTGAGTAAATGAGGAGACGGCAAACTAATCAGTGTCATAGAACTGCAACGAGTTACTTGTGAGGAGCTCACGACCCCCCGCCCACTTGTTAACTGGAAACTTGTGTCTGAGTGCATTTGTTCATTGCTGTGCAGCTGGAGTCTTTGGGACAGGCCCTTGCAGTCCATCTCTTTCCCTGCTATACTTTTGCCTGTGTCTCTGCAGCTTCTTAACAATGATTGTGGATGTGCTTTGAACTGCTTGGTTCTTGATTAAACATCCTGTCTTCTGAGCAAATATCCTGACTTCAGTGATTTCCCCAAAACCAGAGGTTAAGGAAAGTCACGGTGGAAAGGGAGTCCGAGGCAGCCACCTCCTCCAGGACTCCCAGGGCCACCTGGTGAGTGGGGTGTCTCTCCCTGAGGTGGTGTCTCTGGGCACAGCTCACACCCCTTCGGCCTCTGCCCTCTGGGTGCCCACAGCAAGCCCTGACCCTCTGTCCTGTCCCCACTGTCCCTGCCTTGGGTGAGAGAGGACAATTGCAGCAGGGCCAGGGGCTCTTGGGATTTAGGGTATAGCTCTGTGGTCAGGCAGGACTCTTCACAACTTTTAAAAACTCATATTGAAAACCCTTGCTTTTCCGTCACCTTGCAGTTCAGTTTGCAATCTCTGTTCAGACGAATTTCCGCAAGTTGTTTGTGGGGCTGGCTGAGACTCTGGGTTGCTTTCAGAGCGGTTAGTGACGAGACCGATGATGACCCCTGGTCACGACAGGACACGTTAATGGGTCCCAGGCTGGAGATAAGCTCATGTCTCCACATTCAAGAGGGGGCAGGGCTGGCTTCAGGCCCTGAGCTTGGTTTAGTACTCTGCTGCTGTCTTAATGATTAATTGAATAATTAAATGATTATTCATCATTTAATGCTTAATGACTTTTGAAGAAGGGGCCCCACATCTCTTTTCGGCACTGGGACTTACAGATCATATCCCTGGTCCCAAAGAAGACAGTCCCAAGGCAGCAGGCTGTCCTGAGCTGATTGCTGGGGGCTGTGAAGTCCACGGGGACCAGCTCGGCTGAGTAGGAGGCTGGGCTTGAGGAGAGCCCGAGAGGGACGGAGGGAAGATGACACGGTGGGGGACAGCAGGGCTTGCTCACCGAAGGGGTTGGATAGGATGAAGAGGCCGGTGTTTTGGATGAGTTTCTGGAGGGCAGGAGCATTGCTGTGATTGTTTGCTGTATCACCAGATGGGGCTTCTGTGTGCATGCGGGGGTTGGGCTGCCTTTGTGCCTCACCGATCCCCTGGGTGTGAGGACTTTACGATGCACAGCCTGTACTAACGCTCGAAAGAAGTTGTCCTGTGACAGCTCACGACGAAAAATGTCCTACGAGCAATGTGACAGCCGCCGCACTGTATGACAGCAAGGCATGCTTCTTTGACGAGCAGCAAGTTTCCTGACAGGAGTGCTGTGGTTACACAGAAACCAGGGGAGTTGCCTGGTGTTGATGACGAGTATCTCTGTTGCTGGCTTAAAGTGATGGAGCGTGTGCCCTTCGGTGTGTGTCGGTGGGATTGGACCCTGTGACTGTTCTGTGCCTGCAAAGAACTTTTTGCCTTGGGCTCCTGGCGCTTCACTGTGGCTTCTTCGTGTATTGCTACTGGGTTTGTTGTTCATCCTTCCCCATCACCCTGGGCACGGGGCTGTCCAATGCATGCACCTT